ACATCTGGTGAAAATTTCATGTCATTAGCACCTCTAGTAATATATTTACTGAGAAAAATGGTGACGTGTTCAATACTTATTTTACCTGCTGTATATTGTACATGTTAAAATAGTCCCTTCATGTTTCTGTAGTTCCTAACACAAAGGTCATTCAGTGCTTTTGGTGCATGGATTTGTCTTATTGTTTTTAAAGCATCTTCACGTTGGCAGATGATAAAATCCTCAAGAACATTTTCCAACGAGGTGTTCACACAGTTTTTCACAAAGTGGTTAACACCTTCATATCATTTCTGCAGAAAGATTATTTTTTATGTTTCCTTTAGACCTGTTGTGTAAAAAATGAACCTGGTTACTTGGAAGTTGGGTTTGTTTTTCCTTTAAACGTGACAATTTCCAGATGTCAGCAGCAGCATTTGGATGGCATCACGTTCAAACGGACTACATTTAATTTTAAAGTGCCCGTGAAGTCAAATTTTCGTAATACATATGAATGCATTTTTAGAAAGAGGACATTGATAAAATATTGCAAAAGAAATTTCATGTCGCTGAGATGAAAAGTTGTTGAGACATTTTCCTGTGAAGTAACAAGAAGTGATGTCAAAGGGGAATGTCTGCATGTGAACAGGGCATTGCTACAACAGCTGACAACTCAGACAGTAGACAAGAATGTGATGCTTCTTAATATTATTTTGAGTCTCTATCAGAAAGAGATGAAGAAGAGTGAGAGTTCAAATAATATTGTTTCAATAAACAAAGACCAGAGAGTTTTCTTTGATAAAGAGTTCCCCTTTGATGTCACTTCCTGTTTCATTTTGTTTGAGCCAAGTTCAAAAGAAAATATGCCAGTTATGGGACAAAATGGGTTAAATCGTGTGTATTAGTCCAACTTTCTTAAAAATAAAGACGTTTTCTTTGACTTTTTGTATTTGAAGAATATGCATGTCACAGGCACTTTAACTTTTCAGCATGTTGTCTTTCAGAGATTAATTGTCGTTTACGGACCTTAAATTTTGTGAGGTGGTTGTCTCGGATGGGTTCTCTGTAGAGACAGCTCCAGCAGCTCCCCATAGTTTCAGCAGGCCAGCTGAAACCTGTCCAGAACAAAGTTTGGGTACATATTTACATAAATGAGCAACATGGACAAAAACAAGACAAAAAAAAAAAACCACTTCAAGGCGTTCATTCTTCTTACTCAGTCCAGGCCATCAGTGTAAAGAGAGCCACGTCTCAATCCCAGGATGGTCTACTGGGCAGCTGCTTCACGAGCCGGTGGGTTTGCTGGACTGACATCTTCRAGGGAAGATGAGTGTTTTGTCCCCTGAAAACACGAGGAATGCTCAGGTTTGGACATCGATTTTACAAATTATTTATGCAACCAAAATCAGACGTGAATAATAAACGTGATCAAGGGATCAAAACAATATGAAGAAGAGACTATTGTAAACAGGTCTGACTTTATGAATGTCAATTTCCTGTCAAATATTTAGATGTAATAGAAAATGGGTGCAATAACAGAAATTATATGGAAAAAATTGTAAAAATATATAGCACGTTATAGAATTCTGGATTTTCGATAAACAGTGGACTTCTGAATGCTAAGGATTGTTACCATTTGACATGAGACATATATAAAAATGGTACTTCTCACAATCTTCTCTAATTAACCACTGAAGATGGTGAGTACCAACAGTGAAACAGAACCAGGAGATTTTAGATCATCAGACACTAAGAACTCCAGACCATTCAAATTTTATWATTATTAGCTGTGTATTTGGGACTTCTCACCATCTTCATCAGATCTCTAACTAGCTGGTTAGCATCAATTCAAAGCTGAAATAAAAGTAGTTTTCTGATCTTTTGGGGACATTTATTAAGATTTTCTGAGCATTTGAAGTTTTTACCATAGAGTTATATAAGATAATTTGTCTTATATAACTCTATGATTTTTCCTGGCTGTAAGAAACCTATTGGTAAATATTTTATCTGGAAAATCATAAAAATGGAATAACCAGTACTCCAAAAAAAAAATGCAATTTTTTCAATAAGGGCATAAAACAGGATGCGTTTCGGCTACATGCCGTCATCACCTTGTTACAGATCAGACAAACTACAAGTCTACATAAAGAGGTGAAAAAACAAACACCTAAGCCAATCACTAACAGGTTGGATAATCAGCCCAAAAAAAAAAACAGTTTTTTTTCTTATTGAAATATTTAATCTGGAACATCTCGCCATCTTCATTAGTCCTTGCATTAGCTGATGGAGATGGTGAGAAGTACTAGCAACCATACAAATTTGAAAAACCTAAATATTTCTACTCTGATCTTTCAGGAATGCTGAGCAGTAAGGATCCTGAGCATCTGAAGCTTATGCTGGGACACCGATTTAAAAACAAATGATCTGGGACTTCTCACCATCATTCTAAAACCCTGAATTAGTGGATTGGGATGGTGAGAAGCACACACATCAAAACTAACCTGAAAAACAAAAGATTTAAACTCTCATCTTTGACATAAATTAAGTAGTAAGGACTCCTAATCACAAAATTACAAAAGTTAAAAACACAGTACTTCTCACCATCGTTTTAGATACCGAATTAGCCGATGAAGACGGTGAGAAGAACCATTTTCAGTTCTGATTTTCAGAGACATTCAGCAACAAAAAAATCCTCAGTGCATAACATTGTTATAGACTTTAAAGGCTTTATTTATAAAGTAATTAATCTGGTACCAGTGCTTTAATTAACTGAAAATGGTGAGAAGGACCAGCAGCATGCTTTAAAGCCCTAAGATTTAAACTTGAACACTTGATTTCCGAGTTCGGCTGCAAATTCCCCCCAAAATATTTGACAACATAAATGACTACTTTCACTGCTTAATGACAATAATTATGAAACTGAAAACTTACTAAGGGGTTTATGGGGGGGGGGGGGGGGGGTAGGACCACAGTTAAACCCAACAACACCTCAGAAACCCCAAAACATTCCAGGAGCATCATTTCTGATTCAGACAGTACAGTGAGTTCTGATCTCATACAGGAAAATCCCAAACAAACAAACAAACAAACAAACAAAGTGAGTCCACTGTCCTCCAGCTGTGCAGGACCCAGGAACGACAACAAGCCGCAGAAGACAACAGCACCAGTGTTTTCTTGGGATGACAGGAGGCATATCTGTGTGATATCTGCTCGTGGCAGCACAGATCTCACATCACCGCATCGTGTGTGTATGTGTGCTCTAACCTGGGCCTCCACATCTGACTGACTGGAGACACCAAATTATCCCAGCTGCTTCACACACACACACACACACAAACACACACACGCATACACACGCATACACCACACGTTTATCAGACAGAGACACTAAGTGGATGAGCTTTATGAGCCACAAACACCTTTCCTCTTCTTCTTTTTCTGCCTCAATTAGCCCACCGGACTCGGAGACCCCCCCTCAGAAAACAGGCTGACTTTACCTCCTGACTGACTGAGCAGATCGACAGCAAACACACCACGGCACGGTTCAATGAGCATTTACTGGAGAGAGAGAGAGAGAGGCAGTCAAAGTGGAGGACGACAGCGATGGTTTGCTACTCACATGTCTGGCACGGTTTTTTTTTTTTAATATATATATATGTATTAGTCCCTAATGCGAAATGAGCATTAGGACTGCGGTTATATCAGCTCCTGCTCCTGATGCTGCTGCTGCTGCTGCTGCTGGTAGTGGGATGTGGCACTTGCAAAACGGCGAGAGACTCGAGTAAATGATGCGCTGCCAGCGGTTCAAAAAAAAAATGTTTTTTTTTCCTTCCTCTTATCGCCCCCCCTCCTCCTCCTCCTCCTCCCCCTCCTCCTCCGCTGCCTCTTACTGCAGCACGGGCCTGTGTGACATTTCCCAAGCAGCAGCTGGGGTGAGAGTTCACAACCAGACAACGAGACTGAGCGAGGCGGCAAAGAAGGTAAAGAAACGCTGGAGGACCGCGGAGAGAGAG